TTATTTTAGATGTTTTACTAGACGACTCGACGGACGTAAAATAAATTCTAAAATTTGACGAAAATGTCGTAGCGACATAATTTAAGTTATAAAATTTGCATTTTAAAATTCGGGTCGCTATAGTTATGAATATTAAAGACGAGATAATGGATAAAATGAAATATCATTCACAAAAATATAATATTATCTTGAAAATTCAAGATAGGAAAAACTAGGGGAAGAGGCAAAGAATTTACTATAATCAAAGTAAGGAGTTACAATCTCTATATACAAATCTCTCTCTATTAATCTAAATTCTATTGGACCACTCCCTGAGTCGATCAAATAAATATGCGTAATACAACACATATTTATGATACAAGAATCCCTAACATACTAGGAGAATTAATATAAACAAGAGTCTAATATAAGATGAAATCTTATTACAATAGGTAAAACCAATAGCAAAGTATTTGAATTGAAATAGAAGTCCAATAACTGTCAAATATGTCTTATGACTTCTTCAAGCCATATTACCACCTGCCAATAGAATTCGGATTATAACACACGAATAGAGCACAAGATTAGAGTCAAACAGATATTTGTGTTCTGACAAAAAGGGACTAATTCTTAATTAGTACTAGTAAAGCCAACCATGAATTTTTATTGCATTAAGATCGATCACATTATTTTTTTTAGAGGATGATTTTGTTAGATTGTTGTTGAACTCTTGATAATTAGTTGATTCTTACCATATGAGATTTCATGGAATGATCCAATCATGTATGTCAGAATATTGAATCTTCGATATCTCCAGTCTTGGTAAATTATCCCATCTTTCAATCTATCTTTTTCAAAACTTTGCATTGCTTTATTTAGCAAATTCTAACTGGGCATGGAAATCGACCTGGTGTGGCTTGTGTGTTATTGAGTTGAATGTAGGTAAACAACTTCCAAATTCTATCTGGGTAGCTTATGAAGATGAAAGAAATGAATATGATTTTTGGCTCGAGAAGACTCAAGTTTCTGTATACACATTGGCTATAATATGTAAATGGGATTACAATCAACCGAAAAAGTGATAGGGTGGTAGTGGTTCAAGGCGGAGTATTTGGCAGTTCTGGAAACCAGTGGTTAATGGGATGGTGTCTGTCTACAAGGAAATTTGCTGACTTTGGTTGATCTAATGCTATGTGTTGAAGAAAGAAATCTGATCAACACATTTCTCTCACCTAACTAGGATTTTCATCTCATAAATTCACTAGTTTTGCTTTGATGTTCAAACTAGAGAACGAGAAGAAATGAGTATTAGGATGGAGATAATTCAATTTGCATGCATTAGCCTTCTGAGGTGGGAGTATTTATAGATTTCCATCCAGACCTTGTGGTAATTTAGTCATTTTGAATATATGACAAATGGCAACTTCTTATTAGCTAGTTTGTAATTGATTCTCTTATAGTATCTTGTTTTATTCATTAATTTATGTGCCTTTCATAACGGTTTTTAGCCAACCTGGATGGGGGAACAGCTCACTTATATTTTGTGTCTTTGGTGCTTTTATTCCTCTCACGTCAGTTATGCCTCACATGTAGAGGGCAAAGTTCGCGGAGCATATTCCTTGGTTCAACACTATGATCATTAAGTGGTAAATTTGGGCAAACAAATAGTTAGATTCTTAAAGTAAAATCTTGAAATTGGATGCATATAACCAACCACTTGCATGGAAAGGAGACCACTAGTCTTGATTTAGAAAGTCAGGGACCAATTTGCAGCATTTATAAACTATAGAACCTGCTTGGTAGAAATTAGATAATGCAAGGATTGAATTGTAGAAAATCGAGAGTTCGGGGACGATTTGCAGAGTTACAAAAATTCAATGGTATTTGCAAAACCCAAAAAATTCTATGACCAGTTTATAGATTTAAGAAATTGCAGGGACCAATTTGCAATACACATAAAATGTAGCTCCAATTTGTAGATTTCTAAAAACAATAGGGGACCAATATACTGATTCCAAAAATTCAGGGATCAATATACATATTCCGATGAATCATTGTTCATGAAGGCCGCTAACATTCAGTGTACCATTAAATAAAACGGTTCATTCAGCCGGGAATATCTTGGACAAAGGCAATAAAAATCTTTTAAAAGCTTGGAACTTATGCAAATTGGGACGAGGGTCAAGTCAAACTCGGGTGGGTTATCGAATCATTTCAAGAGCCATAGGATCTATGTATGATTTTGAGTAAGAATACGATGAATAAAGTTAGGTTCTATATCTTTTAAATTGTACTCCGTCTATGGATGGGATAAATTTATTTATTGTACCGTATTAAATGATTAAAAAATAAATAAAAATTAGTGGACAAGATGTTGCTAGGGGAACAACAGTTCTCATGGACCAATTTTCACAAGATGGCATACCATTCATCTTTTCCCATCAAGATGGTTGGCTCTGAATAAGTTAAGAAAGTTGAATGGTTCAATAATCATGGTTGGCGATTTTGTGGTGTACGTGGCTAAGCTTGAACTGTGTTCTATTATCCGGTGCACTCAAATTTACTGAATTTAAATCCCTAAAATAAATTCTAATACTCAATTAAAATCATTTATCTCTTATGCTGCGACANTTTAGTTATTATTTATTATATTGAAAAATTAAACAAAAAAGTAAAAAAGCATAGAATTGAAGAATTGAACCCCATACCTCTAACGCACAAGATGGCCCTTCTACCATGTGAGCTACACTTCTTGTTGTTGAACATTGGTATAATTATGAATTAATATTAATTATGATTTACATGTTTAAATGTTTAAAAGGAAAATGCGGTTGAAAAGAGTCGAACCCGGGAATTGAGCATGGAAGGAGTCTGCTCCTCCAACTGACCTGCGAGCCATTTCTGTAACATATCTACAATAACATTTATATAATATTATTTTCATATTTCTTAATTAATCTTTTTTCCCGACGAATCCAGCACGGGCGGCCGCCCCGGCTCGCCGGGTGCTGGGTCCGCCCCTGTATGTATGATTTTGAGTAAGAATACGATGAATAAAGTTAGGTTCTATATCTTTTAAATTGTACTCCGTCTATGGATGGGATAAATTTATTTATTGCACCGTATTAAATGATTAAAAAATAAATAAAAATTAGTGGACAAGATGTTGCTAGGGGAACAACAGTTCTCATGGACCAATTTTCACAAGTTGGCATACCATTCATCTTTTCCCATCAAGATGGTTGGCTCTGAATAAGTTAAGAAAGTTGAATGGTTCAATAATCATGGTTGGCGATTTTGTGGTGTACGTGGCTAAGCTTGAACTGTGTTCTATTATCCGGTGCACTCAAATTTACTGAATTTAAATCCCTAAAATAAATTCTAATACTCAATTAAAATCATTTATCTCTTATGCTGCGACATTTATAATTTACAAAATTTATGTTTTTGCCTTTCAAAACATAAAATTGCCAAACAAGGACTAATTGTGCTTAGCCCCTATTTGATAGCTATTATTTGGCCAAAATAATATTTTGAATAGTGATTTTTAGGATATTCTGTGATTAAAAAGTAGAAAAAAATTTGGGTTACGTGCAGAATATTTTATTATATAAATATGTGGTTGTCAGAATTTCACTATATGCTGATGTGGCAATATCGGTTGGTCTTTTTTTATTATTATTATTTTTCATTATCGAATCAAAAACTGCCAAGTGTATTCTGACAAAATTCTTGAAGCATATTTCTGTATACATAGTAGGGTTGTTTTAAATAAAGATTGTGGGCTAATCATAATGAAGCTGCATGCAAATTATGTGCTTGTTTGGTATTACTAGGGTCAGACATGGTCCGATTTGAAACCAAACTTTTCGGGTATTTAATAAATGGAACCGTCGGGTCCAAATATAATTTTGGAACCGTTCGGGTTTGGTTCAGTTCGGTTCCGTATCATAATTAATTTTTTTAACAGATTTTTAATGGTCAACGATCGATGGTCGTGGTTGGAGGTCGCGGCTTCGATGGGCATTGGAGAGAGGAAGTCGGACTCGGTAGTCGGCGATTTCGATTTGGACGTGTAGATGTAGGTTTTCAATTTATGAAATGATTTGAGGTCATTGACTTCGTGGTCATCGAATGAAAGTGTGAAATTGGAAAGAGAATGATAAAAACTTAAAAAGACTTGAATCTTGGGCTAAAAATGAAATTAATAATAGGACCAAAAAATAAAATCAAAAAATTGAATTTAGAAATTGGGTTGGATTGGGCAGGGCTAGCTAGGTATGGATTTAGCTTGAGAGTTAGAACATTAATCACTAAATTAGCTAATTTGTTAATTTGTTTAGAAAAAATTAAAAAACATTAATTAATTCAATATAAAAAATTAAAACAATTATTTAAATTCGGTTATTATTCGGTTCTTCGATTCTGGGTCTAGAACCGAGAACCGAATCAAACCCGTCAGTTATCGATTCAGATACCCGTTCGGGTATTTAACTTATGAATAACCGTTTGGTTCGGTTCGGCTCCGTTCAGTTCAGTTCGGTCCGATTCAGTTCGGAAGTTTTGTCCAACCCTAGGTATTACTTTTAATTGCTTATAAGCATGAACCTTTATAAATATGTGGATAATAAGTAGACAATAAGTTGTCAATTTTATGAAATATTAATAAAAAATATTTGAGGTTCTCTCTCTAGGTCTGAAGATTTAGCTCTCTTCCCTCTTGGTTGTTGACTATAGAGGTGTGGAGATGGAGTGAGATATTTCGAGTTTGTGTGCTAGACTTAGGTTAACGGAGAAGGAAGCTCAGGTGCTGGAGGTTGAAGAAGCAGAGAACGGGCTCTCGGTGGAAAAATGGTCAAAGTGTCGCTTTCAGGGTTCTTGTCGACCGGGAGGTGAATAAGGGGGCTTTGAAGAATACTTTGCTCCAGCTATGGCAACTCGAAGGTAAGGGGGTTATCAAGGAGGTTAGGCGTAATACGTTTCTCCTAGAATTGGTTAGGGTTTCGGATAAGAAGAGGATTATGGCGGGTAGACCTTGGTCTTTTGATAAATCTTTGCTGTGTCTACACGATTGTGAAAATGTTGACAATTTGAAGGAGATTGCGTTTAATGAAGAGGTTTTTTGGGTCCAATGCCATGACCTCCCTTTTGCTAGTATGACGCAAAAAATGGGGTGTGCTTTAGGTGAGCGTCTGGGGAAGGTTTTAGTAGTTGATACGGATAGCAGTGGGGTTTATTTAGGCGCATTCCTTCCTTTTAAGGTTCTTCTTGATATCTCGAAACCTATGACGCGGGGCTGTTTAATCAAACTTGGCAGGGACCAGTATTGGATAGCTTTTAAATATGAACGGTTGGCAAACTTCTGTTATCATTGTGGGCTGGTTTTTCATTCATCTGGTCGGTGTGTTCAGAAGGATCAAGGGGCTGCTATTGGGGAAGGGATTGAACAGCAGTTTGGCCCATGGTTGAGAGCTACTAGGAAGCATTATGCGGGTATATCATTGCCGGAGGGGGCTGCTCAACCTCGGTTGAATCTTCATATTTCTAACCCTGATCTTTCGCAGACTGGCATTGATCTTATTTCAGGGGAGACGGTGGTGGAAGACATTGGGAAAGACCCCTGTGCCGACATCCAAGAGATGGATAGTTGTGGGGATGCTCAACCATCTGGGAGTGAACTCATGGACTTGGGCCAGAGTAAAAACTGGAAAAAGAGGGCTCGTTCAAGCCCAGGTTTGGCCGGTCACCAGGTTATGGAGGTGGATGGATGTGAGCCCAATTCTTGGAGCTTAAAAGGGCAGGAGGTTGAGGGGTCTGAGGTGTCTACTCCGAAAAGAATTAAACAAGTGCAGGGTGAGGTGGATATCTGGCAGTGGCTGCTCAGCAGCCTTGCCATCCACCTTAATGTTGGGATTGACATGGGTTAGGGCTTGGGATCCCTGGGTCAGATTGTGCGATTCTCTTGTCTGATGGTTATGGCCAAGTTCCCATTTTTGGTTGCCTGGTGGTGTAAATTTGTTTCACCACCTTGGGTTAGTTAGGTTTCTTTTCTCTGTTTGTTTGGGTTGGTTCGGTTAGGGGTGTATATATGTGGTGGTCTTGGTTGGTGGTGGTTGGGTCGATTGGCGGTGTTTTGGTTTGGGCGGTGCTTCTTCTGGTTTCTTTGGATTTTCGCTCACTTTGTTGGTGAAGGGCTGATGAGTCATTATGATTGATGAAGATCCTGCTTCTGGAAGGTAGCCTCTGTTGTGGGTTTGGATCCTTTTGTTGGCTATCCCGTGTGGTTGGGGGCCGTGTC